AAATAGTCTAAGATAGTCTTAGGGGAAAAGGAGCATCGCACCATCTCAGGCATTTGTCGACTCTCATTTGAGGCAGTGTCATGCGTGCTTGCTTTTGTCTCATAGGCCGCCACCAAAAGCAAAATCCCAAACGGTATTGATCTTGAAATTGCGAAAAGACTCCAACGGAAGGTGCCCCTGCCAGATGGAGCAAGTGTGATTGCATGCTTGGGAGGTGAGTAGGCAACAGGTCGCGGCGTTGCAGACTTCTCATGTCCAAAATAGCTCCTTGTCCCCTTGCAGGACATGTGGAACAAAGCTGGCTTCACTGAAGCCTTCGAAGGCCCGGTGGACGTGGCGAACCGCGTTGCAGAGCTGCTAATGCTCAAAATGGGCGTTTCGGCTAAACCCTCCGTCGCCTGAATCCGTGCCTCCCTGTGCGAGTGTGCGAGTCAAAACGCTGAGTTCTGCACAAAGATCCTATAGCTCCCCAAACCCCTGAAGCCCTTAACCCTAAATTTCCCTAAACCCTAAACCCCTTGAAGCCCTCAGTGCACCCAAGGTGGTGAAGTTTGGAGCTACGGCCGCAGCAACTCCGAGGTGCAAGAGAAGATGAAGAAGCGCCTCGAGGAGTACGAGGAGGTGGGCTAGGGTTCGCTTGGGGTTCTACAATCCAAAAGGGTTCTATGAGGTTCATAGCAGTGAGATGGTTCGGGGTTTAAGGGTTTACAGTGAGTGCATCGCAGTGTGCGGTCAGCGTAAATCACACGTCCTGCAGGCCAGGAAGCAGCTGAAAGCAGCGTGAGTCGTCTCCCTGGAGCTTGTGAAGTGCGTGAGCAATACCCAGTATTTCCAGGAGGCAAAATTAGGGTGAAGAGGCGGCTGGGAGGGCAGGCATGATGCATCGTCAACTGCCCTGACGATCCCGAGGGTTGCCAATCTGAAGTTGTTGATGTTGCCCTGGGTATAGTAAAAGCCTACCCTGTCCCAAAGCCGCCAGCACCGCAGCCCGATCATCACTGGCTGACATTTAAGCGCCGGTGTCCTCACAATCTCATGTAGTTGTTTTGAGCGCCTCGCATGAAGTCTGGATGGCCGAGATTTGGGGATAGCTGGAACCTGCAGCTCTCACTACCCGCATCTGAAGTGGCAGTGATCTCGGGCAAGGTTGACTTCTTGCGGTGGCCATCCTTGGCCCGAACCCTGAAACGCAGGGCTGAGGCCAGGATTTTCTACCTTCTCGGCAGCGCCTTTGCGTTTCTCAGCCTCTGAGGCTCTCCCCTACTGTCCTACTCAGCTTTTCGGATCGTATGTAGTGCCCTTATGTGCTATTGGGGCCCATGAATGAGGTTGTCCATAGGCTCAGAAATTGCAAACTTTGCCCAGCGCACCGGTGCTTCTTTAGGCACCGACTGAGCCAGACCCACATGCTGTGAAACGAAAAAGCCCGGGCGGTTGCATTTGAGATGGAGGCACCCAGACGGGGACAAGCCAAGGAAAGCTGGTCGCTGGCAGCATGCGCTGGCCCTGCTGGCTTTCATGCCTGTCGCTTGCCTGTTGCTGCCTTCCTTCGCGCTTCTTCCGCAGCATAGAGCTGCAGCCACACCCAAGGAAAAGAGCATCCGACGTGACGTGATCACCTACAACTCGGTGATGGCAGCACTGAAGAAAGCCGGCCAGTGGGAGACGACGATGCAGCTGATGCAGCTCATGTGCGCAGCCGGCATGCCCTTGAGAACATCGACATACGCGAGGGGCTAATCTGTTTGTGGGCTTCGCGAAGGTTCTTACGTACTTGAGTGTTCGCTTCTGTCATGCTTTGGCAGTTAGGATGTGGACGGTGCACCAGCCTGGTCATTGCATGGCAACCTGTTGTGCACGTCGCTATTCGTGGCTCAAGCGGCCTTTCCCAGATTGCAAGGGCATAGAAGACCCGCCGGTCTGCTGTGCATCGTTGCAAAAAGATAGGTTCATCCGGCTGAACAGATGCTCTCCGATGGTTGGCAGACAAGCGACAACACCACTTCTGAGCAGGAGGAGGAGAAGAAGGAGGAGGCGCGCTACCGGGCATCTTGTTGGTTGATTTCAGTTTTTCGAGCGGCTTGCGGCTTGGATGATGCAGTTCGGCGAACCACATGGCACCATCCGGTCTGCAAACCTCGCAGTGTTGACAAGTGTCGAGAATGAGTGATAATGAGTGCCAATTTGCACGAGCGCTGCACGACGATCCGCCTCGTACTGGCACGACGGTATGTGCTGTGCTGTTTCTGTGGTACAAAGCTTGGGGAGCCTAGCGGGATCCATCATCGGAAAGTCGGAGCCATGGATCAGTTTGCGTTTGTGACGGTGTGGAGCAATAGTCCTGAGAAGCTTGTATATCGTCTTTTCTTGATTTCCAGACACAGAAAGTCCCAGCCACGGTCGAGTTTCAAATTTTGGCAAACATGCAGCAAGCATGTCTTGCAAGGCTTTGACTGTTGTTATTATCTTTTCCCGAAGCACAGAACAAGTGGTTTTGTTCACAGCAGAGCACCGCAGACCAGTCGTGCCTGGCGGTGCCGAACACCAGAGTCGAATCCCGAGAATCTCAACCGCCCTTTTTTCGCATTGTTTATGTGAAGGTAATCTCGTTTTCTTCCCGGAAGTACTGTAGTCAATGTAGTCGCTGCTTCTTCGCGCATACTTCTCCACCCAAACATCTGGTATCGCTTTTTGTCGATGCGACTGGATATCATACTTTTGTGATGCGACCAGGGGAAGGACCTGGAGGTGTTGATGGTTCAGGTGTCGCTGATGTCCGGTCAAGAGCTGCTCGGTGATTGCATGATTTTGGGGTTGATTGGACGGGTTGATATTCTCGATCCGCATGTCCTTTGGGTTGCTGCGTGCATGATTTCAGGCTAGGATATGTGGAGCGTTTGGCCTTTGGTTATGCAATGTCGGGCGAGTCATGTGACTAGTGTGTGAGTAATGAGTAATGTTTTGCAGGTATCAGAGTATCAAGACAAAGAAGAGCGTGAGAATGCTCGCGCGTGGCAGAATCTCCTGAACACGTTAATTTCGCTAGAAATAAACATCGAGGAACGAGGACCACTTCTTGAAGAGCTAGTTTGTAGCCACCGTCACAAAGAGACGGAAGCGGCTCATCCAAGGCTGGAGCCTGTGCGAATCGTCGCCACTCAGAAGGTGATCTTCATGTGTCAGGAAGTCTTGCGTCAGCTCGTTCCATCGGTACAGCGAATCAGTTTGCTGCACGAAGGGACGCTTGGAAGAGACTTTGCACTGTAGGCTTGCGCCTTCCAGGCTACTTCTTGTGAATGGCTTTCCGGGATTGAGGCTGTCCCTGTGTTGTTGGCGCAGACTCAGCGTGGCTCTGTCAGGAACGTCCTCCCCATGCAAGCCACGGTCGGATCCTGCCTAAGAGACGGGGATGCGGTGATGGTCCTTGTGCGGCCCAATGCCTTTATGCTGCAGCAGGCGGATTCTGGCAGGATGCAGGGTCTTAGGATGCTTGAACATGGAAGGTCTTCAAAACACGGGACAGGCAATGTCCAGTTACCATGAATTCCATCACTTGCCGCAGGCTGACCTCGACACAGGCTTGTCAACCCGTCTCGTCGATGGGGCGCGTGAGGGCCTGGGCGGGCGAATGGCGTTGACAAAATTTAAGTTGTTGCATCTAGTTGCTGAGGCTGGGTGGGCGAAACTCTGGTCATGGACAGTGTGCTGGCATGCGCTGCTCCTCGCTGGGATGTCGTTCCTGACATGCAGAAGAACTTTGCCGTGGAAGCAACCATCAAGATGTTTGAATGGCCCATGCCTGACTGGAGAGGCCGGGTGTATAGAGCCAGAAGCTTGCAATAGAGTGGAGACATCCTGCTTTGAGGAACCATCATTTCACAGCACGGACCTGGCACGGGCTGGGAGCTGCGCTGTGGAGGCTAGCCGGCCTCAAGCCTGTGGGGTTCAGGCTTCTCGGGCCCGGCGATTCATCCAACAATGGCCGTTGGGTTGGAGTTAGGTCCGGTGTGATCCGGTGGTCGTGCGTTTGTGTCCGGACCAGCTGTTCGCAGTTTAGATGTAGCCGAGAATATGGAGGGAATGCATGTCAGTGCCTCAAAGCATTCGCTGAAGCTGCCGAATGCATGGGGTAGCGACTCTGAACCCGGCATACTGTGGGGTGATGACGCACGTAACGAACCTCAACCATTTTCGTTGTGCCGTCCTCGCGGTTGTGAGTATTCACACTGGAAAAGTTGCCTCAACCAATCCGATCGGAGTGATTGCACACGGCTTACTCGGTGCTTTGTGACATATGTTGACACGACCTGGGAAGTTCTACATCTCGTTGTCCATCTACCGTTCCTGATCATGTTCAACAAAGTGCCGCTTAATGGGTCACCGTTAGCCATCATCACCACCACAATCTGCAGTCGCAGCTCGACACGTAAATTCGTCATAGAGTCTTACAGCTGATGCTCATCGTGATCGACATTCGGGTATGTGGTTCGACGACCCCACTTGTCAGCGCACGTTGTATATACATAGACATCGATTATAGTACGGGGGTGGTGTGCGCCGCTGCGACTGAACTTCCTGTCAACTTCGGCTGCGAAAGCAGCAGTGTAGAACTGAGCTTTTCTACTGCATGCGCTGTGACCAGGACGAGGTGTGACGGCGCTTTTCACTACTTCACTTGGGGGGCACAACGAGCTGATTATGAACTGGAAGTCCTCTGCTTGCGTGTATTTGCTCTGTCACACCTCGGCAGTGCATGCTTTCTGGACATGCAGATTGTTTGATCTAGCATGGCCCCCGAGGCGACCGGAGATGGGAGCGTGGCATCATTATTGTATGATCTACGAAGCCGAAACGCATCAGCTCATAGTGCGGCCTGGACGAACGACCCTGCTTGCTGTGCGAGTTGCATGGGAGAGTGTGCTGGTCTGTGCGATTGCTTTGGAACCGCTGAGGGTGTGCGACGGTACGGATCGTGCCAGCAGGAAAGTGGTCGGAGATTTCCGGCCTCACGACGACTTGGTGCACGTGGGCAGGTACTGGCACGGGCCGAGCCATGAGATGCACGCTGCATTACTTTGGAAGCATTGCGTAGCCCTGGAAGGAACCCGGAATGGAGGGACAGAGGCATTGTTGGAGAGATCCGAAATGCTGCTGTCTGGCCGGATGGCTTTGGCTTCGGGCTTGAAGATCTTCCGTCCAGGGCCCGTGCAAGGATAGAGGAAGCGAGGGCTTCGGAAGAAGCTCGGGATCGAGAGGAGATCTCTGGAGAGCTGAAAACAGCTGAGCCGGTGTAGCTTGAAGACTTTCCGCCAACGTCCACGTGTTTTCGCAAGTGTCAGACCAAAGCCGCATGGCACGATCGTTGCAGGATGTTGCAGGCGCTTGAAAACAGGTGTCCCCAGTGTCTGCAGTCATCGAGGCGGTGCAGCACAGGCTGTTGTCACATCATGGCTGCTCAGGTGATGTCGATAGATGCTTGTGGCAAAGCCAGCCGTTGGCAGCTCGCGGTCGACATGATCAGCGACATGTTTCTGCGAAGCTTGCATGCTGACGACCTCGGCTGGCAATTTATGGCAGTTCACCTTCCAGAGAAAACGTGAAGGCTCGAGCAGATCGCTGTTATAAATGAACACTTGCCAAGGACTTCTGCTTCCATGCCGCCATCAGTGCTTGTGAGCAGGGCGGCTTTTGGCAACAGGCTCTTGGCCTCGTAGCAGACATGCAGCAACCCGGAAGCACCTAAATGTGGTGATCGCAACTTCTGTGGGCTCGTCTGTGCAGCCAAGGCTGAGGAAGCTGAGACTTGTAGTGCAATCTGGCGTGCCATCCATCTCTAAGCCAGGTCAAAGCATTCCCATATGATTTGTCAGGAACGCCGATGGAATTTGTTGGGGTTCCGTTCTGCATGCAATGAAATTGGCCGGCAGAGAGGACGGGTCTGGCTTCAGGTCCGAAAGTGCTGGGCTCTGGAGCCGCAAGGGGTAAACAAAAAGAGTGCACTTCGCTGGCGTCGAGTCGCTCTCTTGCAGAGGACTTGGCCCAGAACACGCTCGAGCGCTTGAGGCCATAGCCGCTGCCATAGATTAGATGCTTGGTAATCGTCCTCTCCAAGGTCCCTGACTACCTACTACCTAGTACGGTCTTGCCTTAGTCCGTGGAGGCAGAGGTGGGCGCAGCCGTCGGCGCGACAAGTGGCAGGGCCAATTGGGCCATGATCTCGGGATGCTCCCTATACACCGGGGGCGTTTGCAAAAGAAGATGCCAGGACCTCGATGAAGAAGTTGGCTCCAGATGTGTCCCAGTCGCACTGCGCATGAGTGTGGTTTCTATCTGATGATCAGTGGCTTTTGCCCAGGTTGTGATCGGGGATGGGGTGCTGGCGGTGTTCAAGCCTGCAGGTTGCACAAGCGCGGGGCTCGAAAGATGCTTTTCCTGAGAGTGGCGTTCCCTTTCAGTGCCCGAGGCGAAAGCATGCTTGAGCGGTTGTTGGCGAAGTGGCGTGCCAGTGGGTGGCAAGGTGAGCTCACGTCAGTGGCCCAGTTGCCTGCTTGGAAAGACGGATTCCAGTCTCATCGACTAGTCACGGGTCTTGGATCTAGAGCTTTGTGGCCAGGCTGGTTTCCAGACTGGATCTTCCAACATCTGGGGTGCTTCCACTGGCCTTGGGTGGCCCAGACGATGGGCCCACCCAATTCCTCGATGCCCAGTACGCTGCCCGGCAGGTGCGCTCACATATCCATATTTATCTTTGGCCGGGCTTGCTGGGGCAGACGACTTGTTGTTGAGCAGTCCTATACCTCCTGACTATGTGTGATCCACTGGTCACCTCTGAGACCGCTCTGGCTTCTGCGAGGCAGCCCACATGTTACCCTTTTGGCCTCAGACCTAAACTGGCCTAAACCCTAAACCCTAAACGCTAGGTCCGAGTCGTGGGAGCGTAAGCCCTAGGTCGAGGTGCTCTCTTTTTTGCCAGCTCTTTTCAGGTGAGCAAGGAGTACCTGTGCCTCTCTGCCGGTCAGTCCCTGGGCCCACGGGGAGCTCGAGCTTCGATCGACACTCCTCTTTTGGTGCCGCTGGCCTTGCAAGTCAGATGTCCGAAAGGGGAGGGTGGTGCATGCGTTGAAGCTGAGGTCCCGAAGTTGGGGAGAGCGCCTTGGCAAACGAGTTGAGGCATCTGCTGCTGGGAAGCAGGTCGGCAATGGGGGGGGGGGACGAGGTGATCGCTTGGTGTGCGCTGCTTTCGATTCTTGAGCAGGCGCAGACGAAGATCAGGATTCTGGAGCTCTTCGACATTCCGCCAGAACTCGGCCGAGTCGAGGCGCGGATTTTTCTGGTGTGATTCGAGGCAGCGTCCCCTCTGGCAGGCCCTGGCGCTTCTTGCAGTTCGGCCTATGACCGGTCGCCTACATCAAATACGATACTTGCTGCATGAAGCGAGATCTCGTAACCTAAGTCAAGACTTCGTAAAATCGGTTCCTCAGAGAAGCACAATCAGTCCAGGAGTTCATCTTGCAAGCCTGGGCAGCCCCATAGTCGGTGACAACGCCTATGGTGGACGCTCCCTGCGGCGTCCCAAGATAAGAAATATGCAGTGCCGCAGAGGTTGGTTGGCTGTTGTGCTGCAGGGCGGGCAGTCGCCTGTTCCTCCACTGCCGATCCGTCTCCTTGAAAGATCTGAGTGGGTCGCCTTTCAAGCCCAAGTATCCGTTGCCGGAGGACGGGCAGCTCCGATGCGAGCAGGCGAGTTTCAGTTCGGTGTTCCTTGGAGGATCTGCAGCGGGTTCTGGCAGACCTGCGGCCGCGGTCGAAAGATTTGGAAGAAAAAAGCCCGTCCTTGCGTGTGACAGCACTCTGTGCGACAGCATCTTCCTCTGGGGCGTGAGCTTGTTACGGCATGAGAATCCACACCTGGCCTGGCTGCCTTGCAAGGCCTAACACTCCAGGCTCCAGACCGAACTCTGCAGGAGATGCAACGCCGTTCGGGCCTTGGATTCCTTGCCAGGCTGGTTGAGGAGTGGCGTCTCTGGACCGGTTTGAAGGTCGCGATCTGGGACCATGAAGCGCAACAACAGCATGACGCGTCTTCCTGACGAGGCCCATGTCCGTGCCTTTCTCTGGCCGCCGATGTGAGGATGCATTCTGCTAGGCCCCGATCGTGGCTGAGAAGGGTTATTGCCCTGACTCGCCGTGTGGCCCTCAGCATGTGAACAGTGCAAAACTTTCCAAATCGTCTGAACATTCAGTGGGGCACCATGTAAACTGTAACATGTAGCTGTAGCTTGAGATGTGTGTCTAACAGTCGTAAAGCTCCCGTTTTACAGTTACCATGTCAGCATCCTGAGATGATGAGAGTACAGTCACTCAGTCAGGAATTCTCTCCCTCGCTCGCTGGCTTACTGACTTGCCCTTCCGCTCACTTTATCAATCTCTCCTTCAGCTATGCAGGCGCTCATTCGAAGACCATCGCCTACACAAGTTCTCTCTAAAGCCAGTCGGGAGAAGTTCTCATTCAGCCGGTGCATGCTTGTGCACGAGAGCCGCAGCACGGTAGGCTACAAGGCGTTTAATGCAGCGTTGCAGAAGTGCATACGCAAGTTAGCAGCAGGAAGGCCGATGTTCCATAGCCGTTCAGGCCAAAGCTTTGCAAGTTCTCCCTCCCAGCCCAAGCCGTGGGGGCATCCACCACTGGCACCTCATGCTCGATCACCCCTTGGGAAAAGGGGTGGCTGTGCAGTTCAGAAGTGCCTGCTTGCAGTTCCCTCCACGTCGCTTGCTAACCTGAAGCCCGACCCAACGTGCCAATACGTAGCTGCGCTGAGCTCAGGCCTGCTGCACGTCCTGGCTCGGCATCCTCTGCCTCTGCACGGAAGCAGGGGGGACTTCTCACGTCCCGCCCCGCCTGCATTACTCAGAGGTCTAAGTTCAACACTGCGTAGCGGCACGTAGCCTGTGATGTTGCGATTGCCAGCGCAGTATTTTGTTGTGGCCAGATTGCCGATCGACACTGCCAGCACGCAGCAGTCTTCGGGCCAGCCCTGCATGATCAAAGTCATTTTTGACTTAGCTTTGCCTCCGTGTTGTAGCTAGCGTTGCGTCGTGCATGCTCAACTTCTTACCAGACAGGATACAGTCCGGGTGCGGGGGCCTCAGACTGTCATCAAGCTTCAAGAGCTTATCGTGAGTAAAAGGACTGCGCCAGCAAATGCCTATCCATCGTTGACTGCTCAGAACACGCCCACACGATCCAGCAGCAAGAAGAGCGGCCGAAGCCTTGGGCGTTGCAGAAGTGATAAGATAAGTCTGATGAGCATTGACAGCTGGTGTTAGGTGTCATGGTGTGCAGTACCGCAGTAGTCCCAGAGTTTAGCAGTAAGAGCTATAAGTGGACATTCGTTTGAGCACTTTGTGTTTCTTTACAATCCCAGAAGTTATTACAAATCACCATGGCCAACGTATTGAATGGAGAACAGTGTGAACGAAGCTTCACATGCCCTAACGTAACGCCGTCACTCAAGCGCACTGTACAAGGCGTCGTGACCAACCCTCAAGCCGTAAACAGACAGAAGGTCACCCCGCTGTCCTTCGCGCATACCTGTGAGACAGGATACAGCGTCAAGACGAGCAGAAAGATAAGAAGTCAGGTTAGAAGAGCACAGAGCGAGTGACAACAAAACAACGATGAGGACGACAACAACCGCAACACACCAACAGCGACAGAAGCAGCTGCAGCAGCTGCAGCAGCAGCAACAACAACAGCCAGAACACAGCACCAACAGCAACAACAACAGCCACGCAGCAGCAGCTATCGGAGTTTGATTTCATCCATAGGTTTCGACGAGGCCGGGCTGTAGTACGGAGTCGGCTCAAGACCTCTTGCGATGAGAGGTGCATGAGTCCCGGTCGTGCACTGGCGATACGATGGACGCGGCAAGTAGTCATACAAGGAAGAGTACAAACTCTCCTAGTGATGATTGTCTTCGCTCGGTATCACCTGATCAGGCACGACCACCCCGAGCAGTGGAAACATGATGCGGCTGTGTGCGGCTGAGCCGTTCGCGACCGCTGCTGCGATAACTGTGGGTGTGACGGTGATGATGGTCATGATGACGATGATGGTCATGATGACGATGGCGGTCATGTCGGTGCGATTGCGGTAATGACCATGACGTGCATGTATAGCATCTCTCATGCTTCGCCGAGGCCTGATGAACCTGCGTCGACGGTCCCAAGCCTTCAGGCTCTCCAGGATTTTCCTTGTGAGTCGTAAGTCTTGATTAGGGTGGCGCCGGTTTTTGGACCATGTTGCGCCGAAGATGGCAAAGCCTTCGTGTCAAGCCTTCACTTTGACACTGTCAGTTGTTGCCAGGCGCCGGAGGCTAGCACTCAAAGCGGAAGTGGAGGCAGCGGTGGGGGCGGTGGCGGCGGCAGTGGGATGCAGCGCATCCGAGATCGACTTAGCCGGTACCCCAGCCTCTACGCGCGGAAACCCCTCTCTGCAGAAAAAGAGATGGCACGGGCCTGCACATCTTTCTTTTCTCACGGAAAGAAGCCTAGGCAAAAACCTCTCTGTTGCCACGCCGGTGAAACCACCGGAGCAGCAGAAGAGCAAGGCCAGTGGGAACCTTGTAGAATCTTGGCCCTGCTGCTATCTCACATTTTCCTGGCCCAGATGGAGAAGATCTTCCGCACTCTCAAGCCTGGTCAAAGCCCTGGATGCCTGGATGCTGTTTCGACTACTTTCTGCGACTGATCCGCGTGTGTTCCCGCCTTGTTCTCCCAGGCGAGTCCATAAACAATTCGTATATCTTCGAAGAGGAGATCTACAGTGGAGGTGCGGGGTCTCGGTCGGCGAACGGTGGCAACAATCGCTCCAACGAATGGCAGGCTGCAAAGGCCGCGTGCTTGCGGGATTCTCAGGGATGTAGCGGGCCGGGAAGATTCGGCTCAAGCGTCGACATGTTTGGAAAACCTGGCGATTGGATGTAACGAGGTTGCAAAACGGAAGACTGACGGACAAGAGGTGGTGCCTGCCTCGGTGTTTTTCGAAGTATACTGCCGCAGGACACCAGGCTCGCAAGGGCGCAGTGATATGAAATACGCTTCAAGTAAGAGCAATGATTCTTAAGGTGGTCAAGATCCGCGCCAAACAAAACAGCAGGACGGATCGCGTTCAGCTACATGTTGCTTAAGCAGTCAGATTGCAGCGCAGAACCCTGCAGGGCAAATGAGCGCAATTGGCGCACGATTATGGCCCAGATGCATGGCATCTCCACAAGCCGCTGTCCCAGCAATGGCCTTCCAGCAAGGTTGTCGGCTAATGTGCTAGCAGCACGACTTTGATTAAGCTTTGCCGCACCGTGGAGGTGGCCGGGATTGCAGCTCAGGTGACAACGTGCTTGGCTTCTCTGAGATCGTAGAAGGTGAGAACGAGTTCTATGCAGCATCCTCAAAGAATTCTCCAAGACAGTCGCAGGTCGAGTGACCTGCTGCCATGTGGCTAGCTACATCTAAATGTAACTAGCTCTTGACCGGGTCTGGGTTTCTACGGCAGAATCTACGTCTCATGCGGTTTTGAGACCCAAAGGCTTTGAGGCAAAAATCAGCCTTTCCCAGTCGAGATGGGCTGTCACATGCGCGCGCGCTCGCGCGCGCGCGTGTGTGTGTGTGTGTGTGGATGTGGTGTGTGTGACATGCGATCAGGTCGTTATGCCGAAGTGCAACGGGGGAGAGCTTTTCGAGTTTTTGGCCAACGAGACCGAGGCCGTGCAACAGGATTGACTGCTGTTGCTATTGCTACTGCTGCTGCTGCCACTCCTGCTACTCCGACCAGTGCTACCAGTGATACGACTAACCCGACGACGACTATCCACTACCTCTGTTCCTACTGCCCTACTGCTACTACTACTACTACTACTACTACTACCACTGCAACCACATTACTGCTACTGCTACTATTGCTACTACTACTACTACGACGACGACGACTGCTACTACTAGTATTGCTACTATTACTACAAAAACTACTACTACTACTACTACTACTACTGCTGCTACTACGACGACGACTACTGCTAGCGCTGCTAGTATAAACATTGGTACTAGTGCTAGTACTAGATAGCACTAGGACCAGTACAGTAGTACACCAGCATACAAGCACGTCAGTATACCAGTACATTAGTACGCTAGTACGGTAGTGCATTAGTATCAGTTTACTAGGACGAAAAGTATTTTTTCCAGTTCTAGTACCAGTATTGGTACTACGACGTAGTCGTAATCGTTGTCGCACACGTCGGCTGCGCCCACGTGTGCAGCAGGCACCCGAGACTCATACTCAGGAAAAAGGTCGGGTGCAAATAAATCGTTGTCGCAGTCGCACTCGCAGTCGGCGTAGCGTAGCAGTAGCGGTAGCAGTAGCAGTAGCAATAGCAGCAGCAGCAAAGCGCCACGAGCGGTTCAAACGCGGACGGGCGTAGTTGAAGTGCATGTCGTTGTGCAGTACGGTGCACGCCAGAGCTTGGTTGCTGGAAGAGGTGGAAAGCTGTCTGAGTCAGCAGAGTGGTGCTGTTCTTGATTGGGTGGCAAATTACCTGCTGCATCTCTGGAAAGACCTTACACTGACGCAACTAGTTCTCGAAGCTGCATTTATCCTTCCAGCGCACAACTTGGAGCACTTCTTTTCATTTCTGGCGCACAACTATCGCACAGAGTTCTGCAGTGCGCTAACAGAGCTGCTAAGAGAGACGGTATGCGTCAATTGACGCTGCCAATTCTCTCTACTACGCCCGTCAATGCCATGCACAGTGATTCGGTAACATCGACACTCAGCTTTCCTCCCACCGACACTGGCTCGTCTCGGTCCCAAGTCCGAGCACTGCCTGGCACCAGAGATTTTACAAGTACTGAACCTGCAGTGGGCGTGAGGGTCTTCGGTACTGCCTCCGGTCCGAAGGTAGCCGTCCCTGAGAAGGCGGTGAACAAGGAGGGCGAAAGGCCTATATACATGCGGACAACCCAAGACCGCATCAAGAAGCGATCTCTGCAAAGAGCCATGCGGAGAGCAAGTCGGGACGGCGTTGCAAGTTATCAAGGCAGGCCACTTCACGTGATTGGGAAGGGAAAGGACCAAGCCTTGGCTACAACAAAAGAAGAAACTGCCATGTCTGCTGAGCGTCTGTATATGATACACTGGAACTGCAGCGGCCTATCACAGGAGCTGCAGATGGAGTGGTTTGTGTGGCTAAGACAACTCCCTCATGTAGGGATCTTCGTGTTGGTCGAAACACATTGGGGATTTACGAACGAGTATCGCTCCAACGGATGGACGCTGGTTCACAGTGGTCTAGAGGGCAAGAAAGGCGCTGGCATCTTGATTGGCATAAGGGATGATCTGCTCACTCCGCACACACTCAAGTGGCACGCGCTGGAGCCAGGCAGGCTGCTACATGCTAGATGCCAAATTGGCAAACAGCAGGTAGACATAGTTGCCCTCTACCAGTTTGCCATGGCCAGAGTCGACAGTGCGCAGCAACAAGAATTGCTGAAGAAGCGCCGCAAGGTATGGCAGAAGCTTCGCCATCTTCTTGCTGGGCTTCCCTTCAGATCCTCAATTGCGCTCCTTGGAGACTTCAACATGACTTTGTCCCCTTTGTCTGAGGTTGCGGGAATGGGGATAATGCCCAGGGCTACTGCTGAGTTGCTTGTTGCTGAAGCGGACGAAGTCATGCAAATTCTGCGTGACAGCCGCCTAGTGGCGCT